CGCCATGAATCCCCTAAAGCAGTCCCCACCCGGAGACCCAAACGGGGGACTAGTTTACCTCCGGATAATGAGCGTTTTACCTTAGGGAGATTCATGACTATTTGTGGTGTTAGGTGAACTAAAGATATGTGAGTAGGGCGTTCAGTCCTACGTCACACCTTCCAGCAAGTCTGGAGGGCCCCTCTCATTGTTGGTCAGCGAGCCCATCGGACTTAGCCGGGAGGAACTTCCAAGGAATTTCCACCGACCATCCCCACATCCACCACCTGTGGGACGCTCCCCATACGCGGTAATGAGCCCGCGCGAGGGTTATATATGAAGACAAATCTAAATTGTGATATCAAAGCTAGCCTCAGTGAGTCTTCTTGAGAGCACAACATAATACATCCAAGATCATGGAAAAATAATAAAAATTAAAGCTCTACTCTTGTAGTCTTTGTTGCTGAAAATATAGTTACTTCTAGGTGACAGAATAAAAAATCACATAATTTTTTTTACGAATCTTGAAACCTATTTGGACCTCCGGACTTGAACTTTGGGGGACAGCTAAATTTTCTAACATCAAACGCATCCAATCCTTTCAGTCCAAAATCCTCCGAAACCGAAACCCTAAACCATGACCTTAATATCCCATTTGTCCTCGACCTTATCCCTAAAAAATGTTCCTAATTCCATCAGAACCTTATAAATCATCCGAATCCCCTAGCACATTCCCTATCTAGTTCCACTCATCCCTACAATCCTCCTCAAAGGTTGAAGCGGCAGTGAGTGGCCCAGCGATCTATTGTAGTATATAATTTGAAGTTCTGGCAATGGCCAGATTCTCCACTCAAGACATGAGTGTATTTGGCTAAAAAAATTCAAACTCCTCTGGCTTTAGCAGCAGTAACGCGGTTTGAGAGTAGCGCAGGGATCCCTTTAAGTCCCGTTTTTCCTTCTATAGTTGGAGGGAGATGCATGGCTTGGGGTTCCCTGCCTGATTGTATATATTGTATATACGTATCACTGTGTGTTTATGTTTTTAATTTATTTATCTTTAGGTTGTTTTATTTTTTATTGTACATAGTTTTTGATTATTATTTTACTTTTGTTAATTTTATTTTTTTCTGTATATATGGTATGAATGTGTTATACCATATATCACTATAACTATTGTCCACGTGTCAGATTGTTAAATTTCTAAACAAATAAATTAATAAAATAATTTTCACACAACTTGAGATGAATCTCAATTTCCCCTATAAATCCCACTTGATTAATATGGATTTGAAGCTAATTAAACGAGGAAGTTTTTCTAAAATAGAGGTATTGTACTTATCTTATGGCGGATCAACCAGCCAATCACAGCAGCCCGCTCACTCCCATCACCATGACTTCCCCCAGAGTTCTCCCCACCCGTCTGCCACACCATTAGAAGCAGCCCAGCCGTCTAAAAAGAATGAACAATCAACGCTCATCAGGCTCGTCGAAGGAATGCTCCAGAGGTTAGACCAGATGATGGGCTTCATCACAACCCTCCTTAATACCGTGCTGAGCCAACAAAAACATGATTGAGCACCTAGTTTGCACCTACAATATCAGAGGCCTCGCACAGATGCAGGCTGAAGTAGAGCTTTTCCTGCAGCAACACAGACCATCGGTGATGGCGCTGACTGACACATTGATGCCCCCCTCGTCTCGACTATACTTCCATGGGTACACTGTATACCGGGAGGTTTGCTCACGCGGGTCGACAGAAGGCGTTGCTATACTGGTCAGAAGAGATGTCCCTTCGAAGATCATCACGAACCCAGTGGAACCTAATGAGGGAACTCACATAGTCACAGTTGACGTGCGATTTAATCTTCGGTTCAGGTTCACCTGTGTCTATAGGAGACCGAGGGCGGTTCTCACGTCAGTGAAATTACTACTACAACACGCCCAGGCAAGAAGTCGGTATGTTGTCCTTGGGGACTTAAATGCTCGACACACCTCCTGGCTGTGTGGTAGTAACAACCCATTGGGCACGTACATCACAAAGACCAGGCTCGCCGTCTTCCACCCGGGTGTTCACACCTTCAGGCATGCAGCCCGACCTGAGTGGACCTCTACGCTAGATCTGCTACTCACCAGGGATCTTCACACCATCACGGATTGCCACGCACTACCGTATGGACCCTCAGATCACCGGCCGGTGCTATACACATTTGAGGGCACACCCGCCACTCCACCCGCGAGCAAATATCTGCTTCATAAAGCCGATTGGAAGAGATACAGATCTTGCGTTGAGGAAACACTACCAGCAGTTACACCATGCAGAACCCGAGATGAGGTGGATAATGCTGTAAATGTCATCACCACCACCATCCAAGCCTCAGCCAAACGGAACATTCCCAAGTTTGCTCCACAGCCCAACGCCATCAGAAGACCTCCACGGCACATCCTAGTTCTGATCAGACAGCGAAACAACCTAAGGAACGTTTTCCAGCGCACTCGTAACTACAGCTTAAAACCGGCCATCAATGCGATGACCCGGCAGATAGCAAGACTCATGAGCGACTGGAAGACATCACTCTGGCACGAGCAGTTACGAAGGACTCATGACGATTACCGTCAGTTCTGGCGACTTGTCAGAACCTTCGTTAGTAAGAAAAGAAGCGTGCATCTGACATCAGGAGACGCGCTACTAACAACTGGGGAACAGGCTGAACACCTGGCGAAAAGTTATGCAGCAAGGGATGCTGAGCGAACTAGAAGCTCCCCACCGGTGCAGCAGAGATCATCACCTGGACTCACTGAGAAGCCCATATTCTGCAATTTTAACCAGCTTGAGTCTGTACTACGACGTATCAAAGGAAACAAGGCGTCGGGACATGATGATATCCCGTATGTTCTACTGAAGATGCTCCCAAGGAAGGGTAAAGCCTTCCTTCTGAACATCTTTAATTCATGCTTGCGGATATCTTACTTCCCTACAGTCTGGAAACATGCCATCGTAGTGCCACTACTCAAGCCGGGGAAGAAAGGAGACATGACTGACCACTATCGCCCGATCAGCCTCCTCCCGCACGTCAGCAAAGTCTTTGAGCGATTGATTCATTATCATCTCCTGAGTCACTGCAAGGAAGAGCACGTTATACCACCAGAGCAAACCGGTTTCCAACGCGGAGTCGCCTGTGAACATCATCTGGCTAAACTTCAGGCACACACCATAGAGCAGATGAATCACAACAAAGCTACGGCACTCATCTCGTTGGACTGCAGCCAGGCCTTTGACTGCGTGTCTCACGCGCTGTTACTTCGAAGACTGGAAGAGTACAAATTCCCAGCCCCGCTATGCCGTCTGGTCAGAAGCTACCTCAGTGGAAGAACTTTCGTCGTAAGAGTTGGTAATGACTATTCGAACCCAGTCGATACAACGTGTGGAGTACCTCAAGGGTCTGTGTTGGGGCCATTACTGTTCGTCGTTTTCACGGCGCCAGTAGTGGCACTTAAACATCCAGAAGCGGTGGTAGCAGCCTATGCTGACGATATCGCAGTCTATGCATCCAGCCTTAACGCAGAGAGAGCTCTCATGAAAGCACAGAATGCCACAGATACCATCGTCAAGGAGCTTGAGAAGAACGGCATACAGGTAAATCCTAATAAGACCGATGCCATAGTGATGTCATTTCAGCAAGGAAAGAAGCCCCTGCCCACTCACTTCACCATTGGTGGAGTGGACCAGCGGATCTCCAACTCAGTCCTCTACCTAGGCGTGACTCTGGATAGGCACCTCACCTTTACTAGTCACGTCAACCAGAGGCTCAAGCTGGCTCGGAAAAAGGAGTATAGGCTCTACCATCTGCTAAAGTCGCCGCAGCTCTCGTTGAGACTAAAACTGCAAATCTACAAGGCGGTCATCAGGCCTACGCTGCTCTATGGTGCACCGTTGCTCCGCCACCTGTATAAGTCCACGCTCAAGAAACTCCAGAGTTATCAAAACTCCATCCTTCGGCGAATAGTCAGAGGTACCACCCTGCAAAGGGCAAAGAATGTAAAGATCCGAGAGGAGCTTCAGCTCCCATCGGTGCCTGAGTTCATAGGCCGAAGACACGTCAAATTTTTCGATGGGCTGAAGGTCTGTGCTAACCCGCTTTTCCAGGAAATAGTACCGCCGCCCAGGCCTGGGAGGTGGCAAGGTAAAGTCCCCTTGGTTGATGTTCTCGCCGAGGGAAGGGGTTTGGACTCTGTAGTTCACACCCACTAACAATAGTATAAATAATAAATTAATGCAGGGCGGTCCCTCCACGCCCAATGGTATAATAAAAGGCCTCTGGCCACAGATGCAAAGAACGCATACAGCGTGCAGAGCCCTCTTAACTTAAAATGCCCTTGGGCAATAAAAGGAAAGTTGAAAATTTATGTATATATACATTTATATACATACTGAATTTATTCAAGAAATTCCTGGGGGGTAGGAAAAAAAAAAAAAATAAAAAAATAAAAAAAAAAAATAAAAAAAAAAAATAAAATAGAGGTATCTGTAGTACCATAGTTGGATTATGATATAGAAAATCTTGAATAATATTTATGAACAGAACTTAGCTTAATTTAGCCACTTTAAATGGTTTTAACAATAACAAACTCTATCTTAATTTGGAGTAAATTTTGTCTAGTTAACAGTGAAGCAATTATTAATTACTTAAATTAAATATTTCTTTATCGCTTCGTATCAAGAAAAAGCACCACTTGCTTAAAAAACACAAAACTTGAATTTTCTGCCTTTCTGCTGAACATTGGCCCATTGTTTATAGGAAACTTTTTGCAGCTCTTGAGACCTGCGATCACTCCTATAAAAAATTGTTTCTACTTACGGGACGATATGTATAATAGCAATATTATTTACGTTATTTTATATCCATCAGTATTAAATAAACTCAAAGGGATTTAGTGTTGAAAGGAGTTTATGCTTGCTTCTAGTACCAATCTAAATAGAAATATTTTGGAATAATTCCTGATATCATTTTTGATTGTTTCAGCTTTTGTGCTGCTGGAGAGAGGTTACGACGTGTGGTTGTCCAACCAGAGAGGAACTGTCTACAACGAGTACAGCCTTCGCATTCCGAAAACCAATCCTAAATATTGGGATTTTAGGTGAGCTAATAATCGAAGAAACGAAGCTTAATCAAAAGAGTGCTACTTTCTCAGCAAATATCTGCTCTTCTTGCCAAATGCACTCACGAATTCGCAGACATTTACCAAACTACTCTTTCAAAGAGTTCTCCATGCGGAGTTCATGAGAGTTCTATACTAGTCTATGTATGTAGTCACGATCTGTGCTGCATTCTAGGCTTTAAGATATTAGATGATAAAGAACCGTGGTAACTTGCGTCTACTGGGGGAGGGGGAGAGGGCGTGTTTCTCCAGTTATATAACCGAGAACTTTACTTGGTTAAAGTTCATTAAAGTTCAGGTAAATAGGGCACTTTCTTCGGGGAGCGAATTTCAAGCGATTTTGTTTTTTGCTTAGTTATAGTAATATTTGTTTCTGTTTTTTTGTTAGTGTTTGACCTGAATTTACTGAATAAAATGATATGATGATATTTATTTTTAAATATATAACATAAAATATTGCACTTTAAGGAGAATGGCGAGAACTTAATAAAGACAAAATTAAGCTTACACTTCCTGGTTTGAAATACTATTTTTGGACCTCGATAAACCTAGCATTTCGAATCTGAGGAGAGAAGAGTAGATGATGTGGTTAAATGATGACCGCCATAGGTAGGAGGAAAGATGATTCACAATAAAATAACAATTTTAAGAAAATTGAGTGGAACAAATAGAGAAATAGATCGTTTTTGTAGTTATAAGACTGTAAACGAAATACCACACAAGACAATAACGTAAGCGAAATCAGAGATGTCCAAAAGAGGACTGCATATCGTTACACTTTAAAAAATGTTACGAGGAGGCAATTCTTATGGAGGAATAAAATTGTCAGAACTATATTTTTGTGGAATTCCATTTTCGGAGAACTTTTGAACCATATAACAAAGAAAAAAAACATGGAACATATTGGAGCAATAATTTTTTGTTAGGGGAAGAGAGAGCTATCGCCCTCGGACAAATACTAGGAATAACACTTTCGCTATAATAATAAAAGGACAAATAAAATGAAAGGTAAAAGACGTTGACCGATACACAGAACGATAAAAAGAAATAGACCGCGAAACATGTTTTGTACACAACTGGATTGAACAGGATAGACGGACAATCCTAATCCAGAAGAATCTGCTAAACAAGAAAGTGAGAAGTATAAGTTATAAAAGCAGTATGAAACGCAGAAGAAAAGAAAAGAGGAAAACAACATTTATACTCCATCGTACTTAGCATGCCATTCGATAAAACTTGCTTAGAAAGAATAACAAATATTATAACATTAAATACCATAGGCCCAAACTTTCCATTCTGGTTGGGAAGAGGGGAGCGGACCAATTCAAAAAAGGTGCATTTATGTATAAAAATTAACGTAAAACGAACAAAATAATAAATATATCAAAATAAATTTATGTAACTATTTTTTTTTCGTATGGGCACATTTGAAAATATGTTAACAACGCAATGGGATATATTACATATTTTCATTCCCGAAATGAACACTCATTTCTCCGATGATTCAAATTTGCTGCGGGAAATGTGATACAATTTTGGAATGGAAGATTGCACATGAATGAATCATAAAACCCTAAGATATCTTCGAATATATAATTATATTTGAAGATAAACTAAAATTTCATTAATAGGACATAGGGCGTGGTAAATTACTTGCTTACCTATTTCTAGACCTTAACTTAGACATCTAGTCGACTTTTCTATTTTCTTAATTGATTTTAATTTACATATTTTATTCATTCATGTATATTAACTATTATTAATTTTGTTCTTCGGAATATTTGGAGAGAGGGGGGGGGGAGCGAAACTACATTCTCGATTGCTTCCCGAGCCCAACCGACATCTGGCGGCTATATTGGCTACTAAAATTATGTAAGATACCAAAAAAAAAAATCATTCTTATAGTCATTGAATTTGAAAACGTTCTAGAAATTGTACATATTCTGGTGAACAGAAATAGTTGACCGTATTTCTAATTTAGGAGAAGTTGCTTGGGGCTAAGGTCAACGGACACATACTATATACTGAAGCTGGGTTTATTTCATTTCCCTACATCCTTCGTTTATTTTTGGCTGATATATACATAACGATATATGTATTAACTTTCATTTTTTTCTTAACCTGCCATTATTTATTTTATTCCTAACAAAATGAATACTAACAAATAATAAATAAAAGTAAATTGTATTTTACAGCAATAAATTCACTTCAATTCAATGCCGGTTTTTACTGTTTCTAATTCTTTCTATTATTTTACTTAAATATTTTTTTTATTTATTGTTTTTTTTTATAAATTACATCATGTCATAACGATAAATTACATGTTTGTGGTTGCAGTAATCTTACACATGACATACTAGTGGTTTGAATGCTATTTAGAAAATTGAAATCCATTTTTTACAGTTGGAAAAACCTCATAAAAAACCTACATAAGATATAAATGAAAAACTAGATTACAATCATTAAAAGTACAAGAAAAACAAAATCTAATTTATCTTCAAAAGGAAACTATATATATATATATATATATATATATATATATATATATATATATATATATATATATATATATATATATATATATATATATATATAAATATATATATATATATATATATATTTATATACACAACCATATACATATATATACATTTACACATACATACATATATACACACACACACACATATATATACATACATACACATACATATACTCACACATCACACTATCACATATACTTAAAATTAGTTAATGCTCATTCAGCCCCCTTCTTGTCATTTTCCAGTCCGTTCAGTAGAGCTGTAACCGATTTCTGGTGTTTAACATTAACTAATATGTAATTAATTTGTACGTCGTTAATTAACAATAATTGTTTTTTATCTTGTTATTTTAGCCCTTATGAAAACATACAACGTTTGTCGAACATTAGCGAATGAAATAAACGTTACTAAAATATACATTGTGTCTTTTGATCACATCCAATGCATTGCAGTGCAATAAATGTTGAGTTTGAACTGCAATATATGTAATTCAATCAAATTAATACGCGTTCAAAAACATTGATATTAAAAATATTTTATGATTAGGAAATTCCTAGGAAGTTAATCATTATAAGTTAATTCATTATAACATTACATATATATGCTCTTTGCTATTTTTTTCTTTTTTCAGTTTCCATGAAGCAGGTTACTACGACTTGCCAGCTTCGATAGATGCAGTGTTGGATAAACGAGGAGTAGACAAGTTGTTCTATATAGCTCATTCCTTAGGTAATTGTGCACTCATTATCTCGCCTAAATTTTGCAGTAACTAAATATTCTATGGGTTTAAAACAGGTTCTATATGACCGACCGGCAACTTCAATAACATATTTTAAATAATAACTTAACTTAAAAAATATTCATCTGTGGTAAGACCTAAGCTAAGATGGACAGATGGAGTCAGGAACTGGTGGACGGCTGCTCAGAAAAAAGTAAAGTGGAGCACAACTCTTGAGGCAGTCAATCGTTAAGCTTAGAATGATGATGATGATTTTTATATATTATTACATTAATATAAATTAATTATGTACATAATTATAAGCATTTGTTACATAAATACATTTAATTACGCAAAGTTAAAGAGAATTAATCAAAATAGGAAACAAAAAATTAATATTTTCTTCAATTCGAGAGAAACAAAAGAAAAATAAAATAGATAATTAAACAAAAACCATGCATAGTTCTGCTGGCACCGTAAACTCAAAATAAATGTTTTTCAAACTCTAAACATAAGACTACGACTATTGTACTCACTCCTTGCAAGCAATTCTAAATTAAAACTTAGACAGAAATTGAATACGTATAATTACCTACTTAAGCCTATTTGGACCTACGCTTCACAGATATATGGGACAGCCAAAAAGACACACATACGTAAACTACAGACTTTTCAATCTAAAACTGTCAGGACTATCACCAAGGCTCCCTGGTACGTCAGTAACATTACTCTACATAAATACTTACAGTTGCCAACAGTTAACGACTACATACGAACATACTACAAAAGATTTCATAAGAACTTACACGGACAAACTAACTCATTGATTCGAGGCATGGCCACAACTAACATGCCCGATAGCAGCTTAAAAGAAGCTGGATGAGTGATCTCCTCCACTAACTATAAATATTACACTCAAGACAGGAAGGACGCCGCTGGGTACTCCTCTACCTCACGCCTATTCCAAGACCAATCTTCTACATCTTGACATCACACTCGCTGATTGTCGAAACTTCTGACAGATGTGAGTTGAAGTTAAAAAAAAAAAGTTTTTCAAAATAAGAATCTTTAAAATTCAGTCAAAATTACTTATATATCTGTGAAAAGTGTGTTAAGTGCAATTTTATGAATTTTTATGGGTATCACCAGAAAGCTATTTTTTCTCTCTTTCTATGTATCAAATAGGCTAAGTTATACGGCTGGTACAGAGATGAACATTCCTTATTGAATCATGTGTTGAAGCTCGAAAATTCAATTTGTATCTGAAAAATTCCCAACTTTCAATTGCGATTTTCCATAAATATCATTTTAATATTTAACACTATACACATATATATTTGCAACAAAGGAAGTATAGAAAATTAATCTAGAATCTACTGTGTAATAAATTCGGCGTGCATAGACATAAAAAAAAATTTAAAACTTAAATGTCCACGCTTACTACACCTTCCAATTTTTGTCACCCCTATTATATAAAGGACATCAACAAATATAGCAAATGAATAATGACGAAATTTAATCCTGTATTTTCTTTAGGTACCACAACATTCCTGGTGATGACATCCTGCAGACCAGAATATAACACTAAGATAAAGGCTGCCTTACTCCTGGCTCCGATTGCGTACGGCCCGACGTACAGCGAGATGAAGCCATTCCTCAGGAAGATGGTCCAGGCAGCACCAATCACATATGTAATCAATTCATCAGCATTGTAGTAATATACAATATACTTAAATACTTATGACATCTATGAAGTTAGGTCAACAAAAAGTTTTGATAAAACATCGTTTAAATATGGTGATTGTTCAGTTTTATTCACCTAAACGCAGGCGTAACTTTGAAAATATTGATTCCATTGTCGCGGGACCTAATTATCCTAGTTGTATTCAGGGGTTCCCACGGAAGATTATGTTACAAGGAGGTTACGTCTTCAAAATTTTGCGAGGGGAATACTTTTTTACGGAGTTATGAATTATTTTTGTGGGGTTTCTATTGGGGAGAACTTTCAAAGAACAACTGAAAAACTACAATTTTTGTAATATTACTTCCATTTCAACTTAGTTAAGAAGATGATTTCCAGGGAAGGAGGCATGCACCATCTTCCTTTGTGGTATTGGCACCTCTGTCCCTTATCCAAATTTTTTTTTATTATTTATTAGTTACAAATATTCCTGGCTCACAATAAATTTGCCATCTGCCTCGGTATTTAGCAATTATGATATCAAGGAGAAGAAATGATAGCATAAAAAAAAATAATAGTAATAACCAAAATAAAAGACAAAAAAAAAAATAACATAATAATACAAAAAAAAAAAAGATAATACAGCAAGTAGCTCAATGCAATATGTCTCTTGGCCAGCGCCTCAGCAGTCTTCTGGACTGACTATATGGATTTGTGGCGGTAGATAGAGCTTGAGTAAGTGAATTTGAATTTAGAGTCAGTCTGTCATGAAAATTTTTAAAGCGGTCAGTGGCAGTTGCCGTGATGAAAGGAGTGTTAAGGTCAGTGTGTAACGTGAGGTTTGAAACATAACAGGGTGCGTTTAAAATTTTCCGTATGACTTTTGACTGGAATGACTGGATGATTTTTATATTTGAGTTCTTTGCTGTTCCCCATAGTTCGATCCCATATGTCCAAAGTGGTTTAATGAGGACTTTGTAAATAGTTAATTTATTAGTCACAGATAATTTAGAACGTCAGTCAAGTAGCCTAGAAAGAATTCTGTATTGCTGATTAAGTTCTTTTCTATTTTGTTTTATGTGGTATGTCCATATCAGTCGTTTGTCCAAGTGGAGACCCAAATATCATACAGTTTTTGAAGGTGGTAGAGCAATATTATTAAAGAACACTGGAGGACAAGAGTCATGATTAAGTGTAAATGAAACAAATTGGCTCTTAGACTCGTTCATTTTTATTCTCCAACTTTTAGCCCAACAAGCTATGTCGTCTCGGTGTCCTTGAAGCATCTGAGAAGCCTTAGCTGTCCCTAATACAAAATTTTAAGAATGTACAAATTTTGTTGATTATTTTAGCTATTACTTATTATTGGAAACCGTGGGGGTCGAGCGAATTAAGGCGCCTGCGAACATTTTATATAAAGTATTGAAATTCCGTTCGAGGGATTTAATAACAAGAAAAAATTAATAATTCGATAACTCGATTGCTTGACCACTAGGCTCCGGTTCGATTCCCGTATGAGGTTGGTAAAGTCGCCAACCAGAAATTCACAAGGAGGTGAGCGACCTCTGGGTCTTAGAATTGATGAATAGTTTTTAACTTTTAAGATTTAATTTGTAGTTTTCATTTTTTGTTCTAGACAATTATTAATTTTCGATGTTTTGGTTTATGTACTTTACTGTTGAGAATATTAAAATACTGATTGACTAACGTAGTGTTTAACTAGTACCAATTTCTGTTCCTTGAACATGTTTGTTATTATTAGTTGGTTTTACTGTAGTTTTTTTTTTTTAACTTCTAGTATATCAACATCAAAGGCGCTACTGATAAATTTGTCTACATAAGCAGTCGTTGTAATTACGTTCATTTCTTTCTTTATTGTCTCATAAAATTTATTACAGATATTTTAAACTTTTCAATAACGTACAATACAATGGCACGTCTGATGGTCAGTGGAATTGTAGGCATACATGTAGGACAACAGGTTCGGATTTTTAATTATTTTTATATACAATATTTGAAAGAAAATAAATACTAATACACTAAACTAATACAATATAATCAACAACTATCTTTGAAATTTAAACAACATCATAAGCAAAACAACTAAAGGTATTATTTATGGTTTAACTAGGAAATAATAAGCAATTTGAAGGCAAAAGGTGGCTCTATCCTTCCAAGTTTCTGAATGAACCATCAGTGAGCGACCTCTGGGTCTTACACTATAGCTCCTAGTCCTCCAGGTTGGAGGTTTTGTACAGGCCTGATAATTCCTATCCCATAAAAAACTGGGTAGAGATTGCTGCAAAAGATTGTCAACCATCCATCAAGAGAGTGTCTGATATCTTGAAGAAGAGAATCAAACAATCACTGCTGTCTCCTATAACAGTTCCTAAAATGCTGCTAGAAAACTCATAGCGAACAGTCGAAATCCAGAAGCGTAAGAAAAAAACAAATTTTTCTTGTATTGTTACCTCAATATTAAAATCACCGATTTTCAATTATATTGTTCAAACTTATATTTGCCCTTTATTACAGTCATATTCTACAAAAGAGAAAATGGAAAGTTTAATACCGTTCTGGTCTCGATAAGTTCTAGAACTGAAATCGATGCTTCTTCGACAGCCACACATCAATCCACGTCATGGCAGATCTCTTCAATCAAAAACGTTTCTAATAGACAACTCTCTTAAGTTCTTTATCGCGATCGAATTCTATCTTAAATTTTGTACATATCTAATATGAATGGAAGATTCTACTGTGGATTTCGGTAATCAATTTGAGATTAGTACGAAGGAAATGGCTGATAGCTCATTCAGAAGCTTGGAAGCATAGACCTTTGCCTCCTAATTGCTTATTATTTTCTAGTTAAACCATAAATAATACCTTTAGTTGTTTTAAGATTTTGTTTAAGTTTCAAAGATAGTTGTTGATTATATTGTCTTAGTTTAGTGTGTTAGTATTTATTTTCTTTCAAATATTTTATATAAAAATAATTCAAAATCCGAGCCTGTTGTTCTACATTTTTGCCCACAATGTCATGGAATTTCACTGACCGTCACGGACGTGCCATTATATGTACGTCATTATAAAGTTTACAATATCTGAGATAAATTTTATCAGACAGTAAAGAAAGAAATGAAAGTCAAAAAGAAATAAAAATAATTACAAAGACTGTTTATGTAGAAAAATTTATCAGTAGCGCCTTTACTGATTCAATAATAGAAATTAGAAAAAACTACAGTAAAACAAACTAATAATAACAAACATGTAGAAGGAACAGAAGTTGGTACTAGTTAAAAACTACGTTAGTAAAAGTCAATCAGTATTTTAATATTCCCAACAGTAAAGCACATAAACAAAAAAATCAAAAATTAATAATTGTCTAGAAAAAAAAAGAAAGAAAACTATTAATTAACAATTAAAGTTAAAACTATTAATCACTTCTAATTAAATTTTATTCTTAAATTAAAATTTCATGTTTTTGTGAAGTGAGAAGATAATAGAAAATGAGGGATTTGAATGAAGAGAAACGGAAGGTGAAAAGCCTTATTTTAAACCTTATTTATCAATGAAAAAACACTACAATTATATCGAAATGATACGAACCCTTTTATAAATCAATATAGTTACTTTAAGTGAACAATGATTTCATTGCACAAAAAAAAAAATCATAAAATTATTTTTGATTTGATTTTTTTGAAAACTAACTTAACGACTCCTTACAATAAAACCACAATATGTAGGTAGGTATAGCTGTTGTTATGGGCAACGAACCTTTAAAACTGCTCGTTTCGTTAGATCCTATTACTTATTACATTATTTTATCTTATCCTGTATACTGAAGGGAAGAAAATTATTGTTATTTGAGAACAATAGAAAAACAGTTTATTTTCATAAAAGTTTGTTGACAAATTATATCAAGTTGCTACAGACACAGCAAACTTATCAATCAATACAATGGACAATCCTTAAAACTAATATACAAATATACAGTTTCATCAATATATATGAGTAAAGTAAACATTTTTTTTTTATGCATTTTTGTCTTCATTTGTTCACTACTATTTTTTTTCTTTACATTCGATTTCCCTTTTTTTCTTATCTCTACCTCTTTCTTCCTCTCATACATTCCGCTTATTGCCTCTCATTTTTTGCTCTTTCTTTCCAACCTAATTCATCCTTTCTGATGACAAATTATACTTATAATTATAATATAAAATCAGATAGTAAATAATTTTCTATATGAATAACTGTAGAATGTACAGTGTAGATTCTTATAGTGTTCATTATTACTGTTTAAATCTGATAAATATGCGGAGTTTTATGATTCGTATACTTTTAGTTTTATACCGAAAATAGTTGCAAAGGGTCATGAAAGGGTGGCAGGAATCCATCGATCTGGGATATGGAAAATATTATGGACTGCAAAACCACTTGTGTCCTGATGGACCACAGGATTCTTACTTGTATGAAATACAAATGTATAATGATATGGTTTTGCAGAAGGCATTACAGCTGCTTGGACACTATCAGATAGGATACAGGACGGAACTCAAGATCCAAGCATTGAAGCTATTCTGCGGCGAGTTCTCAGTTACTCAATCGATGTGTTTGGACGTGATAGGGCTCTACACTGGAGAAGACAGGACCAATTTGGACAAGGTAATTTTTATCATTAATAACAAATCACAAATAAAGCAATAAATGAATTAAGTCATGATTACCAAAATTTTACTTCACAATTTCATCAAAGAATCTAATACAAATTACATCTTACATTGTTTTCATGTTGTTAAGTACATAATAAAGGGGATCTTATTTTTTATAAATTTAAAAAAGAATGTCTTTAGATATTTTATTGGTTTAATTGAATTTATTTTAATCTATTATAATTTATATTGTTCAGAATGACTTCCATAACTTTATACCGTACGGTTCTGCAGGAACTTCCATTAAGACCCTCTACCACTTGGCACAGAATTTCAGATCAGGTAATTGAAATAAATTATTTTTTTTTTTTCCAGTTTAAAGTTTTATGGCTATAGTGATTCAAGTATTTTTTCAGTAGACTAACCGAGGCTTTTTATGACCAAGTTACTAACAAGATTTCACAGAATTAAGAATAAGGTTAAGTCACAGAATTTGGGAGCAATATTATATTTGGTTTATATATTACGTTATAACAAATCCATCATCGAACTATTTAAGGCAATCGTTGTGGGCATACGCAGGACAATCAATTAATTTTATAGGTGTAGTGTTGCCCAAAATCGGTCTCCACTTTGTAAGACCAAGATCGAGACCGCCTAACTGTTACAAGACCAAGACTTGTAAAAAAAATAGATTTTTTAAATAAAAATTAAGGTAAAATAGTTACTAATACTTGACGATTTTAGTTACTAAATGTGAAGAATTGGTATAACCAACATATTTTTGCATTTAAGTCTTATAATTTTTAATTCAGGCTTAGTTAGGTTTCTCCTATCTAAAAACTGAGAGTAATATCTCTATAGTAACAAGCTAATAGGTAATGCAAGACCAAGACTAGTTTGCAAGACCAGGACTCGCCTTGGTCTCGCATTTGGGCAACACTATACATATGTATATATCTAGCGTTTCTCACAAGATTAGTCAAATTTCTAATTTTCGTGCACGAGTATAGGTACCAATAGTTATATTTTAAACAGCCATTTTTTTTTTATTCTGAATGATTATTTTAGGAGGGAAAATGTTTCTTTCTTCCCCTCCATTGGAGCGCCTATAGGCTTAAACAAATAATTATTACAGAAATAAATGGCCTGAAGCCAAAATTAATAAAAGAAAAATTAAAGAATTTTATATATATTTTTCATTATTCAAAGAGTTTATAATTTTTTATTATTAATATATTAACTTTACAGTTCCTATTGCATATATTCCTTTTTTATAATAATGTATCCGCAAAAAACTACTTATTGGCAACAAAAAGAAAATACAATGGGGTGTAAATTTGAGAATGAACTTACATCCTTTTTAGATAGTAAGGAATTAACATAGGCAAACAATAAAAAATATACAACAAAACAATTATATATAACAAACAAACAAAACAATTATAGCTCTATATAAAACATTTCTATCTAATAAAAGTAAAATATTCTTAATACGTAGATTTTCATGAAAATAATTTCTGTAACGGGTCAACTTCTGTAATGGAGATCTTAGTAAAAAAAAAAAACATAGTGACATTATCTTTTCAAAAGATAAATATTCGAAAAATCATTTTTTTTTTTTTACTGCTTTTTAATAAATAAAATGTGTATTTATACATTTATGTTTATTATAGTACATCACAGTAAATGGAAAAAATAAATTAAATCTAACACTAATTTATTGCAGTGATTTTTATTTGGTTGGACGGATACTTTTAGTTGATTGGATATCAAATCACAGGATATTATTTTCTTAATTATGTGGATTTCAACCTATCTCGTAATGACCTACTCAATTAATTTGGACCTGAAAGTTTTCTTAAAAGTGAGATATCTGTAGTATAGTTTGAGGATGATAAAAAAAAAATTGCAAATATATTTTTTTTAAATAGAAAATAGCTTATTTAGCCGCTTAATAATCCTTTTTAAATAGTTTTAACAACGGCAAACTTTAGTTTCATTTTCAATAAACTTTGTTGAGTTTACTGTGAAGCATTTGATAATTACTTAAATTAAATATTTTTTTATGAAAAATCGAACCATTGTTTGTAGCCCTGAAGGACTGCTATCAGGACTGCTTGTATATATTTCGCACTTTATGACAGAATATTTTGTACTCAATACCCATTTTTAAAGGAATAAGTACTGTATCATTTAACACTTAATGATGTCCAAGGTTATGACGAGCTCATGATCATTTTTCAATGTTCCATATATTAATTATTATTACAATGATAAATATTTTAAAAGCTTTTTCTCTGTGCTAGGAGAGTTCCGGCAGTTCGATTACGGAGCAGAAGGTAATCTTCAGCGTTACCAGAATACCTCTCCTCCTTCCTATAGGCTGAATTTAGTAACGCCACCTGTGGCCCTTATCTGGGGGCTCAATGACAATTTTCTCTCAGAAACGGTAAGCTGGGACACCTTTCATAAATATACAAACACAGGAATATACGGTAATATAAAACAATATTATAATTTCTTTTATTTTATAACATTCCAGTCCGTGAAAAAGTTGGCATCCCATTTGCCGAACGTCATATACAATAAAGCTGTAGCAGATCCCAAGTTCGCCCACTTCGACATGATTCTTGGAGCCGATGCGAGGGAAGTGCTGCATCCCTCAGTCGTAGAGATCATGGAGTCTTTCACTAAAGAAGATATTAACAAGTGATGTCCTTTAAAAAGTATGTTGTCCGATTCTGAGGAATGAATGTATATTTCTTCGGTTTATTGCAAAAAGTCATTAGGTGACATTTCATAAACTTGAATTACAAATAACTTACAAGAATTTTTCGTTTGTCAAATAAGAAAATCGTGCGTTTGTTGTAACTGTAGCATTCATAACTTCTCCGAATTTTCCTCATAATCAACGTTGGTAGAACCGTTGAAAGCTGAATTACTGACCTATCAATCCACATCGGTAACTTTTAGCGAGGGCTGTGGTTCGGGATTTAGAAAAGCGATTCCTCCTTCAACTGCTGCTTGTTTTTGGAGGAGCTTGGTGTATTAAGGAGCCATCTGCAGAGCATATCAGAATCTATTATTTTAGACTCATTAGGAACACTACACCAGCACCTGTATTTATTCTGTGTACTTTGTTGTGAACTCGGTGGACAGAAGAGAGATGGAAGAAAATTGTAACAATGAATGAATAAATTATAACATTGGATACGTTGGATGACGGCCCCTTGATATTTTATTCTATTTGTTCTCTTTTATTAAATGGTATCGATTACGACTGACCAGTATGCTGAGTTATTTAGCAACTCGTCATAGTTGAGCAGCCGTAAAATTTTATTGTGATTCTTCCTCTAATTCATTTTTAAATTAGAAATTAATAAAAACTTCTCAATCATTTTTATTTTATTTATTTGGTTCTAGTTTGTTTAAGGTTTTGTAACTTTTCGTATGGCATATAGAGCACTAAATCACTAATTATTTAAAGAACATCCTGAGAAGTTATTAATGATTTGCCGGGGAAAAAAAATCATTTAAGAAAATCCAGTATTAAATTTTGCAATTTTTGATTTCTATAAAAATTTATATTTGAGATTTTTTTAAGGCACTGAAACGAATCTTTTATATTTGACTTACTTTGTCGGAAGAGCTTTTTGGATGTTGTAATTTATTATATAATATAACTTATTTAATGCCACAATCAATTTGTTTTTCTTATTATGCAAAGAATAATTAAATTGATTCATATAGAATAATATAAAAATCCGGGCAAAGCAAAGGCAAAAATAAATAACATAAATTTTGTTTGAAATTATATAAAATATTTTTTCTCTCGGCTCCTGGGGCCCATAGGAACGAACATGTGTCCAACATTTTTCGATGTAGTACCATAAAAAAAAAAAAAAAATAGTGCAGAAATCAGTGACTCAATGACAGTATCTCCCCTTATTAGTGTATTATTTTATCGATAAATAAGATATTCACAAAAGCGTTCTTAAAAGTTCAGCTTAAAAATGTACTTGATGACTGTTTGCTTTAAACCGACGATTTATACATTTATTCAGTTGAGGAGGACATGTTACCAAGGCCTCGCATTCTGGTCAAATATTAACATTATATTATGTTCCTAAAAAAAAATAAATACAAATTATATTCACTGTGCATTTCATTATAAGAAAAAATTTGTTCTAATATCAAATGTTGGATATACAAGATAATGTTTGGTGAATATATCGTTAATTTATTAGAATAAGAACAATAAAAAATAATTGTAATGCGTCATCAAACGATTTCCTAAATATGTTACCTTAAGTTACAAGTGGCTATAAATAATGAAGATTCACATATCATGCAATGATGTATATACTTGCTTAAAAAACAATAAATTTTGAATTAATTGAGCAGTACGTTTTTGTTGTTGTTGTTTTTTTTCAACCATTTGATGTTGATGTTCAACAAATTTAATTTTTAAATGCTTTTAAATATAATAAATCTTTAGGAAATTTAAAACAAAATTCAGACACTTGTTCCCTTTCACTACTTCAAGATGACGGGTGGTTTCAAAATAACACGGAGCATTCTACTCCTAAATTCCCGAAGATACTCGAATTCGTCCGAATGGCGGAGCTTACCGATACCCAACTACTGATTGTAAATTAGCCGTCAATTTAAGAGGGAAATTTTAAATCCGTTATAATTGTTGATAACAATTGTTAAAATAAATATAAATTGTAGAATTACGATCGGATTAACTATGAATATCAATACTATCAAACGTTTTTTTTATCATATTGTTTTACTATGTGTTTTTTGTCTTACTTCAAAGGGTTAAACAATGAGTGTAAATATTATTATTTAAAAAAAAAATTCTTTTAGACGATTTTTAAATTATAAAAACTTACATCAACTTTTAACTAGTTATAGAACTATTATAAAGACTGTTATTATCTCATTGATCATTATATGAAAATATTGAGTAACCATTAAAGTATTCTCCACTAACCATTTTCGGTTATTATTCTTATTTTTTCCAATATGAAATCTGAGATTTGTAATAAAAATCAATATACGTGAAAAGTTATGCCCTTTAAAAATTATATTGGAAAAACATTGTTTTTCTTACTGAATTGTATATTTGAATATAGCTCTCCAAATAATAACCAAAACTTAAATATTTGCCAGGATAAGAGCAAGATAAAAAAAAAATCGTTGTTGTGAATAAAAATTAAGACTAAATAGTTACTTATATTAGAAAATTTTCGTTACTATATGTTAAGAATTGGAAGAGCCCATACACTTTGTATTCAGCTCTTCCAATTTTTCATTTGAGTTTTAGTTAGGTTTCTCCATTCTGAAAAATGGCAGAAATATTTTTATAGTACGTAGCGGTAGCATTTTTAAAAGATTATTATATTTAAGACAAATCTATAAAAGAGTCGTCTAATTCGAACCAGTTTTAGTAATATTACAGTGTAATTAATGTTATACAGTGATTTTAATAATTGTTCACTTTCCCGTTTACATGACTTTAGTTCATGAAAGAAATAGTACTTTAATGATTTCTCTGATCTGTGGAAAATAAAAGGCTTCGTGCCACATGTGCCAAAAATGCATAATACAGCAAACATATTCCCTATCCCACCTTAGAATACCCTTGGGTAATAAAAGGATAATGTAACCTGTATATACTCATACTTATATCAGTTTGTATATTGTATTTATTTATAAATAAAGTGTACTGGGGAGTAATAAAAAAAAACTCTGATCGATTATCAGGACAATTAGTCGAATTCATTTGTTTTTTTGTTATGAACATATTTAAAATTTAAAGAAAAAAATTAAAATCGGTAGGAAAGTTATGTCAGCGGACATAGATTGTTTCTGTTCTACAACTCTTCAATTCCAAGGTGGGAACCTATCACTATCTTGGTAATACCTTTACTGAGAAGTTAATTTTATTAATTTGGTTGGTCTTGACTATGTTTATGACAATAAAAATGTAAATATACCTATTCTGTAGCATTTTTTTTTAGGATCTAAAGTAAAATGTTTAATAAATAACAATAAGTTAATAGGTAACTACAAGACTCTTACCAAGACCAAGAAAGAGTGCGCAAGACCAAGACTCGTCCTTATTTATAATGCTAATGAAAAAGGAACAGCTGAATATTGATACCTACATCTTAGGACTCAATACTATTGTATTGAATAAGAATTCCTTTTATTAAAGGCAATAAATTTTTGTTCAGAGCTAAGGAAGAGTATTTTATTAGAAGCCAAAGTTTTCCGACATCTATTGATAAGCCAGTCTTTCTTATTAACTCTCATTCCATTAATGGAAATGGATAATGTAATTGAATTTTCCATTTTCTTTTTAAAAATTCCTAATAATAAAATTTTAATACTCAAGTAACTACACTATATATATATATATATATATATATATATGGTATATATGTTTTCCGGTTCTCAGGAGCGATGGATTTTGATGAATGAAGTATTTAACGAAAGGGAATTTCACAATGAAGTGACGAATCCAAATTTTGTCATGAAATTCCTACAACTTTAATAAAACTCATTACACTTTCAATCCATAGTCCTTCAAACAATAGTTGATGTTCCGTTTGATGTAAACGACAAAACCCTATAAAAATTCTCCAAATTTCATTAGAAACTTGGATATCATCCAAATCCCCTATCTAGCTTCACCCAACCTTATAATCCTCTTCGAAGGTTGAAGCGGCAGTTGCCCAAAGACTTTTTGTAAATAAACGCATATCTGATTTCTGACAATGGCCAGATTCTCCACTCTAGCCATGCACGTCTGTTTATGTCCACTGGTCCTTGTGACTAAGAGGCTGTGGGATCTCTTTGCCTTTCGTTCGACGAGTGGGAGGGAGGGGGGATAAGAAGGTTTGAATCGGAGTTCTCCTGTGAATGAATTCTATAAATATCGTATAAAAGTATACTTGTGTTTAAATTGTTATTTTGATTAATTTGGTTATTTTTGTTTAAATACAATTATATTTAGTATTTCTCTGTTTGATTTGTTTTTATTTCTTGAAAATAGAGTGTGAATATACTCTCTGCACACTATTATAACTATCTTTAATTGAGACAGTTTGTAATAATATTTCTCAATAAATAAGTTTTTACCTAGGACTCCATCTGGACAAACGTCTAACTTGGAATCCTCATACCAGACTGAAACAGACAAGAAACTCGACGTTTCTGACTACTTCAACACTTACTAGACAAACGCTCTAACCTTCCAATTAACTATAAAAGACTAATTTGCATGACTATAATAAGGCCGATTTGGACTTACGGAGTTGAGCTATGGGGCTCCACCAAACCTTCAAGTTCCTCTCGCATCCAATCCTTACAATCCAAAATCCTTCGTAAAATCCTCAATGCTCCTTACTTTGTTACAAATAAAATCATTCATAATGATCCTTATGTATCAGATTTGGCCCAATCCAGATATCTGTCCTTCCATAATAAACTTCATAACCATCCCAACCCTCTTGTTTCTAACCTTGCTTCCTATTCAATTCTTGATAATCTTCCGAGGCGTCTGAAAAGAAGATGGCCACGTGATCGCCTAATATAGACATATTATTAGAGTGCTACCAATGGGCAGTTTCTCAACACGTGTTTCATGCCTTTATATCCATGTGCGAATTTACCAGATGTATTTTTTGAATACAGTTGTAAATATCATATAAATAAATATAAATAAAATAAAATAAAATAAGTTTGTTTTTTTAAGTCAATGAAAAAATACGTCCGTTTCAAATGGTTTTGTATAAATTTTATTTTAAATATTTCAACGCACACAACGAGACCCATACTGGGCCTTGCGCTTGAAAGACCAAAAATGTTCCGTTTTTTAGATAAATCGTAAGTCTTCGTTCCAATATCCACCCCATCTTTAAATCCTGCCAATCAATCACCTCTTATCCGTTAAGTCTCCATAAAATTTTAAATAGATGTTGTTGTATATATGCATATAAATTATTATTAGTTGGTTTTATTTCACTTTTTTTTTCTCAATTGATGAAGTTAGAAGATAACTTATACATTTTTTATTTATTATGTTTATTTATTTTTATTATTCTCTGAGGCTACAAAATCCCACATTTCTGCCTCTGTATATTATTCAAAAGGGACCTGTTCTAGAATAAATAAAGTATTATTATTTTTATTATTAATGCCTCTTAGGTGCTATTGAATACTTCGCTGATGTCGCTTATACGTTGAATTCTTTAGGGGAAAATAATAGCTACATGAGCATTTCAGTTGACAGAATGACTAATTCCAATTTCGACATTTTTTAGTAAAGTCATTTTAATAATATTCCTAGTTGGAAAATTTATAATATTTGTACAGTGAGTAAGTTGATTCCTGAGTTGGTGATTGTAATGTTGAAATACAGAACTGTGATTAAAATTATAAATTTTCCCACTAGAAGCATCAATGAAAGCAATGCACAAAAATGTAGAAATTGGAGATAGTCGTTGTGTCAACTGAAAGACTCGTATAAAGTGAGAGTTCTCACTGAGGCGTTCTAGTTAATATTAAAGGTAGTTAATTTCAGATAGTTAAATAATTTAAAGTTAATCGCTATTGCTATAATTCGAAATGCCGGTGGCAAAGCATTATTTTTAATTAATTCCAATGTTTTAGTATCACACAAAACGAACCGATTCGGCAGCATTTATGCATCAACCCTTACAGAAACCGAC